ATATATATATACACATATATATATATATACATGCATAGAATATATCCTCCATTTACCGTATCTTTGAACAAACAATAAAATTCGTGCTCAAGCGAATCGGCTCAAAGAAATGTCGGTGGAAAAAACTCCACTCTTGTGTGACGGTTATGCGCGTCTTCTTGCATCATCAATGCAATAGCAATTAACTACAATCAACGTTGTGTTCGCGTTGTGAACGCTAAATCTCGCCCGCGAGAAAACAAAAGTTTTTTTTTTTATAGAACCACTAATAATATCACGTTTCTTTTTTCTTTATCGTCGCGTTGTTGTTGTTGTTGTTGTACGAGAGTGTAACGGTGCACACGTTTGCAGTTTTTGTACGGACAGCCGAAAGGATGGACGGATGGCTGCCGCGGGGGGAGAGTTTTCTTTTCTCATTAATGAGAGAGTTTTAAAACGAGATAGACATAGAGAGTGTGGACGAGTAGTTTTCGCTCTCGGATTACAAAGCGGACCCTGTCTCACCATAAATATCTTTGCGCCGACCGAAGACGCTATTATTTACACTATTACAGTCTATGAAGAAAGATCACGAACCTCATTTTAGGCCTGTGTGTAACTATCGACTAGAGAAAAAGCAACAGATATATGCAATCAAACACTTAGAACAAGAAAAAAGTAAAATAGAGAGAGAAAATACTTTTTCTCGTTATAACAATGTTCCGAGTTACACAAAGTATACATCTAAGATAAGAAATTATGACCGTGTAAATATATATATATATATATTTTTTTTTTGAAGAACAGAGAACGTTAATTTGTTTTTCATATTGCACTTTGGCGTTGTTATTGTTAAGCGAATTAAGCGCAGGAAAATACATTCAGCAGAAAGTTATAATTGCACAAAACGTGAATACGTTAATTAAAATCTACAATTGCGGACAAACAGCAATACGCGCGTATTTATCGTAATTTAATTAAATAAAAGAGACAGAGACAGAGAGAGAGAGAGAGAGAGAGAGAGAAGCAGATCATGATCTTCCTCGATGCACTTCTCCATTACTTGTACAATTTGTGCTACATATAAATTCCAGTCGGCATATACACACACACACACAATATACGTAAATTTCTAGCCACATAATACGTACATATATTATACTTGTTCCGCACATGCGTGTGTACATCTACATGTACACACAACGAATGAGAAACGCTCGCTCACTTATGCACGCACTTATACAACGACACATGTACATAATATATAATTTATTTTTACTCATGCACACAGCAATCAGTGCGCGCGCGCACACACATACAGATGTATATATATATAATATAATCTCTATATATATATATAAGTAACATACAATAAATTGTATTTTTGTTTGGCACCTCTTACCGTAACTATATTCAATTCACACAATTACACTTGGCTTAGGTAGACGCACGTATACTTGCCATTGAAGTGTACACGTGGATCCAAGTATAAATATATATATATATATGTATTTTTTTTTTACCAACTTGCATATTAATCTCTAATATTTACCGAACGCAATGGTGTACGTACACGTTGATTCAGATTCACACTTCGAAAATCTCTTTTGAAACTGTTTTTTTTTTTTGCGAACATAATGAGTATAGAACATTCTTAAAGCGTTTGAAACAAAAAATAAAATTTAATAAAATACGTTCGTAATTTTGTTGCTTCAAAGTCTTTAGATATAAAGTGTCTTCGCGAATTTGGGATTTGTTTAGATATTGATTTATAAAAAAAAAAAGGCCCGCGTTATATATACGTAAATAATTGTTGAATCACATATTGTGTGAGACATGTGTAATTTGAGAAAGTGTGCCAAATATCGCTCGGGGAAACATGTGTCCACCTACATCAACGCATCAACGTACCACATTACGCAAATGTATCATCGGAATAACAGTGCGGTATATTTTACGTATATATACTCTATATGTATATATATATATATATATATCTATCTACATATAGATTTAGATATTTAGATGTACTTTCCGCGTATAATCAATTTTTAGAGTTACGTCAATCTCTCCCTATCTACTTCTAAAAAATTATAAGAGGAACGCGCGATTAATCTGTTTTATCTATATAATATATTTATATATAAGTTTTTTTTTAATGGTTTTTTTTTTTATAACACGTTACGTGCCACGCCGAACAAACTTGGCAGGCGGACGCATCTGCGTGGGAGTCGCACTCTCTCGCGATCTCGTAAAAGAGATAGAGAGAAAGAGAGAGAGGAGAGAGAGGAGAGAGAGAGAGAGATCTTCTTCCGAATTCCATCAATTCTTTGTATATTTTAAGTTCTTTTTTTTTTTTTTTTAAAGCTGAAACTCTCTTGTCAATTATCTTTCTACGAGTTATTGAAGATATTACAGCTGTTTTTCTTTTTGTTATTTAATATTTAATTACGCGAACAAATGCTTTGTAATATAGAAATTGGAATTTGTAAAGAGCGACGTGAAAAAACTTGGTAGTCTAGAGAGATCGCGAATCGATTTCCGCAATATCCCGCGCGAAGACCTTTTTTTTGTTTTTTTTGTTTTTTAAGTATAAAAGAGAATATCGGAAAGGAAGAGAGAATTGATGTCGTTCGACGAGAGCGCGATTCCGTGGACCCATTCAAAAAACATCCGGCGCGCAGTCGGAATTTAAGATCGTCAATAAGGATTTTTGTTTCTTTTTTTTTTTTTTTATTTTTTATTCGCGTTATGTTTTCTCTCTTTGTTTTAAATAATATTATATCCAACAAGGCACTCTCTGCTCGAAGGGATTTTGCCGGATTCTTCGTTTCTCGCGCGTCGGCCGCGCAAACCAGCGAACTTGTGTTAAATTTCACCACACATATCGAATGGTGTTCGAAATGTGGTGGTGTTGTGTGTGTCCTTCCTTGAAGACGTCGAGTAAAAAAATGGTCGCTTTAGAATATTTCGATGGGAGCTCTCGCACGCCGTGTTTCTCATTTTCGCTCACCGCATTGCGAAAAAACTCCGAGGTTTTAGGCTTCTAAGTTGGACAGATTTTTTACGTGGTTCTCTCTTTTACTGAAAGATCACTCTTGTCTTGCCGTTCTTTGTTCTTCGAGTGCAATCTTTTCGCGCGAAAAAACAAGTCGCGCGCGAATCGCGTTTTTGAAAATTCGCGTTTCGGTGAGAAACGAGTGTCATTCCCCGCGATGGCCAAAACTAAAAATTGTGATCATCGTGATCAAGAGATTTCTACAGCGACAGTGTTTTTTTTTTTTTTTGTTTTTTTTTTTACATTATTATATTAGTGGAGCACAATAATGGCGATTGCTAATATGCGTGTGTATGTCGTCGCGTACTTTCAAAATTTTTCTTTCTACATTTTTTTACTTTCTGTCATCGCCAGAAAAACACTGTAAAAATATGAGAAAATCCTTTGTGAGAGCTATGTAAGAAGCCATATTTTTTTTTATACATCTGTCAAGTTTGTTGTTTACTTAATACAAAGTAGAAAACTAAATACTATATATATATCTTTATCTATTAATCAACTAATTAACAAACTATTCACACACACAAATCATTTCGACTAAACTGAAAAATCTTTACCAGCGCGCGAAGCGTACAAAGTCATTGTTCAAATCCTGTCGCGTGTACATGTTTTACGTCAGAAAATTCATTCTCTATCTATAGGCAAAGTAATTGATGAATGTTTCCTCCAATTACCGATTTGTTCGTAGAGAAGCAACTCAAAGAAATCCCGTAATCGTATCGAAAGAAGAAATGTATGCAGAATAATTTAACCATTATTACGCGAGTCACCCGATCGATTTAATCTTCTTTCCTTTTGTGCTTGTATCACGCACATCAAGTAATAGTCGTTTTTCACACACTTCGTGCTCAGCAATTTTCTCTCTTTTTTTTTTTTTTTTTTTTTTT